ACTATAAGTGCAATTTTGAGTGCTCTTTAAAACGACTATTTATTGCTTAAAATTGACAAACAGTTGTAAAAGTACATTGATAGAAAAAATATTGCGAACTTTTTTTCCATATATTAGTACTAATGTCAATACATTCATAATTGACTGATTCACAACTAATATTGATTGCTCATTTTTTCCGAAAATCAAACATTTTCTAAAATATTTACAGTATAGACTAGATAAAAAGAAGCTACAACGATTTAGTAAACATAATAGCCAAGGAGATCAATTTAATACATATTGTCTTCTTTAAAAGAATATCTAATAAATGAACTGAAAGGATGAAACGTCTCATATAATATCTGTTCTATAAATAGACATAATGTAGTTCTGAGAACTTTTGGATCATCTTATATCGATTAAAATTTAATAAAGACAGATAAATTCATCTTATATTAAAAAGTCATTTATCTCGATAAATTAAAAAAACAAATAAGTGAAGATTATTATTCTTCAAAAGTATACTTTATAATATATTTGTCAATTTTTGAAAAACTACATATTAATATTAAATTATATTTATAATGTACAACAAAAATAATATATATATATTTAGATTCTTAATTTATTTTATTTTGGTTGGGTATGAGCAGACACAACTGTACGCTGTACAGTGTTCATATGATCTATATGTTCATTCGTTTTTTGCGGTAGAAAAACACGTTTAATTTGTCGACGAAATCCACCATTTGTAATCATTGATACGTAGAAACTTGAAGCAAAGAAAACATATGACAATAAATGTGTAAATTCTGTAAAAACGCTTTCTTGAGCAATTCGTAAAGATGATTTCGACCAATATTGAGTCACATTTTCATAAATTAATTGAACTGCATATGGTACATATGTTATAATAGTTATAACTGATTGTAAGATTAACATTAATGTCAATTGTGCATCCATTTGTTGAAGAATTGTTCGAGGTACAACTGCTGGTTGTATTACATCATTTCCTGGAGTAACTCGTCGGTGAATAACATTTCGAACACTTTTTATTAATAGATAAGCAAGTAATGACATAACTATAGGTGGACATATTCCAGCAAATACAACTTCAAAATAATTATCATATTCAGCATAGACACCTTCAGGAGGACCACATGTACCATCGTATATATTATATAAAATAAGTCGATGTCCAATAAGTAAAAACCAAAATAATACGCAACCTATTGATAATTTATACGATAATGAAAGTCGATTACTCCATTGTCGATATTCTTAAATAAAAATAAATTTTTATAATCACAATCTATATAGAAAAACTTACTATTCGAACGTTGTGCAGATAGAAGTCGATCAATAGTTGCAAATGAGAATAAAGTAAAAGATACTTGATTTCCCCAAACAGATGCAAATTGTCTATATCTACAGATGTTGACATAACGAATCATAATTGGTATTTGAAAACCTTTTTGAAGTATTCGTGTTAATAATACAAAATTAAAATAATGAAAATCTGACATAGCTTCTGATAATAAATAAACTGAATAAGCTCGATTACGAAATGATTTTGAACAAAATACAATCATATTACCAATACAACCACAATTTCCAGTTATCCAAAGAAATAAACCAAACCAAATATTCAATTGATATGGTGCCGCAAGAAGAGCACCACTAATGTCATCGGATGAAGAAGAATTCATTGTTACTAAATGAATCAACAAATACACTGTCGTTTGTTCCTGCAAAATAATAGTTTTTTTTTTGTAAGAAAAACAATCCTCGGCTGAATGAGAAAACATTTTTTCTAGTTCGATAATTTTTTCAAAAACATTCTTTCTCTTCATTCTATGAGAAAATTTAATATATAACTATTAACAGCAGGCAGATGGAAGTAGCACGCAGTTAGTTTACTTCTTGCGAACGAGAAGATATTTTACAAAGAAAAGAATATAAAAGTCTAAGACACCGTAAATGATAGCACTATGAGAAATAAATAACATTTTAATTGTGTTATTCGAATAAAATGTCTATACTTGTAAAATTAAAATAATACACAACAGATTTGACTCTTTTTTATATTATACAAAATTGTAAGTTCATTTTGAACTAAAAAAATCTGTTTTTTTTTGTAAAATAAATTAAAAAATAATCCTAAATTTCATGATTTTTAAAGATAATGACTTATATCATAAAATACATACTTTGGATAGGTAACAGAAGCCTTTGAAATTGCTTTTAAATCTTATGATATTTATTACAAGATTGACAATTAATGAAAGTGTTTCTTTTATTTTTACATAGACTATCATGCTACAAAGAAATATATGTAACTAATTATTTATTAGAGTATAGAATAGTTTTCATTTAATATATTTCTATGTAATAAAAAAAAGAATAGATTAAAATGAATAATAGATAATTTTGTTAGGAATCTATTATTCTAAATATAAATAAATGAAGATATAAGGGGTACGACAATTATTTTATTGTTAAAAATGCAATAGACTATTATAGACATTACTTGCATATAATAATATTTTAAATTACAGACAACGGTAAAATATAACTTACGATATTTTTTTTCTTCTTTTATACTCACCTACGTACCAGATTAACTCTTATAAAAATATTCAGAGACGTCATAGAGACCTCTCTAATGGCGATAGAAGATTTATTTTAAAAACGAGCAATAACTTTTTTTTCAATTGAAATTGTCGAATAATCATAAAATTATTATATTTAACTGATGTTGTTCATTCCTAACAATGCATATGTCTCCAAATAGCAAGATCAATAACATATTGAATAAGTAATGGACCAATTTGTTCTTGTATTTGTCCTCAATCAGATGAATACATTGGTCTATGTCCAACTAAAATTAACCATAGTCATTCTTTTATTTACTATTTTTGCTTATATTGTTTCGTAATGAATCAGATTTCTAATTATATTCAGTTGATAAAAATACTCATTGAACAAAATTAGTTTCTTCCAAACTAAAATAAGAATTTTCATCAAGTTCATATGACGTTGGATTTGTTTTTGACGGCATAATAAATCTTTTTTTATAACTTGTATAATTATTATATTTTTCGTGATTAACAGTTGCTGTCATTTATAGAATAAGCTATATCACCAACATGAACAATATAATCAACTTGTTCATTTTTATTTTTATATTTCATAACTTCGAAACCTAATGGCATTATTGTTTCCATATCACCATAAATATAAACAATTTTTTTCTTCATAGAATGTATTAAAAAATACAAAAAGTTCATTACTAAAAATTTTTCTATCATTATTTTGATCAATTAAATTAGAATATTTTTTTTAATACATAATATTTCTTTAATTGTTCGACGAAATCCATTATTTGAAATAATTGATACATAAAAACTTGTTGCAAAGAATATATATGAAATTAAATCAATTAATTCAGCAAATATTTTTTCCCATGCTAATTGTAATGGTGTTTTATACCATGTTTGACTAATATTTAAATAAGTTAATTCAATTGCATATGGAATATATGTTAGAATAGTAATTAGAGATTCTGATATTAACATTATTGTTAATTGTTTATCTATTTGATTAATTATTGGATTATTTCGATTAATACATGAAGATATATTATTAATAGGTAGAGTTTTTCGTCGTGTAATAGTATGTACATTTTTTATTAAAAAATAAGCTAATATAGACATTATAAGTGCAGGACATATAGAAGAAAATATAACTTGAAAATAATTATCATAGTATTCATAGAAACCTTCTAGAGGTCCACATATTCCATTTTGTATACTATAAAAAATAATTCGATGACCAATAAGTAAAAACCAAAATAATGGAATTATAATAACCATTTTATATGCTATATAAATTCGATTACTCCATTGTCGATAGGCTTCAAATAAAAAAAAAGTAAATGGTTTTGAATTCAATCTTTCATTTATACTTACTATATGATCGATGTGTTGATAGAAATCGATCAATAATTGCAAATGAAAATAAACTAAATGAAACAACATTACCCCATAATGTACTGAATTGTCGAAGTTTACAAATAATAATATAATGATTTATTAAAGATATTTGAAAACCTTTTTGAAGTATTCGTGTTAATAATACAAAATTAAAATAATGAAAATCACTTATTGCTGATGAAAATAAATAAATTGAATAGGCTTGTTTACGAAATTTTTCCGAACGAAGTACAATCATATTACCAATACAACCGATATTTCCTGTTATCCAAAGAAATGAACCAAACCAAATATTTAATTGATATGGTACAACGAGAAGAATATTACTAATGTCATCTGATGATGTATTCATTATACTATTTTAGTTGAAAAAGGAAATTTTGCTTTTTAAACTAACGCAATATTTTATAGTATAAAATAATTACAAAATTTTTTTTATAAAAATGACATTGAAAGGAGTCCTAATATGAGAGATATTCATAATTTTTTCAATTAAAATATTATGTATAACTGTTTATAGTTACTTATATTTATTTGACATATTAGAAGTATTCTTGTTGGTTTCATCTATGTCAAAAAAATACTCTTGTTTTATCAATTTATTCAATAATTTTGTAAATAGTTTCTTAAAATAAATCGCTATAAAAATATATATTTGGTTTTGACAGTATTCATTATGTGATGTGTATATTTAGATTAGAATTCAGTCGAAGAATTTAGCTATATGATAAAAAATCAATTGATTTAACAACTGAAATCTATTTCTCGAAAGAGAATATTATATTACATAATTTTGAATATATCATTAAATTATTTTATGCATCAATTTTTGTTTAAATTTAAACTATATTTAACTTTGATTTATTTAATGTCGTCTGCAAATAGGTAATTAGGGTTTGCCAATAGAAAATAAATAATTATCGCTCAATTAATTTTATTAATTGGCTACTCAATTTTGTACATTATTTTTTGAATAAGTATCGTATCTTATTTAGGTATGAAAAAAAGAATTTATAACCTTCAGTCTTAGTAAAACATATATTCTAGTTATGCTTTTATACGTTTTTTCGTATATTAGATTTTTATCCATATATTTTCATTCGGTTATATATATATGACATGATCGAGCAAATAAATATGACTAATCAAAGGCTCCTAACTCACTTTGCGTACCTATTTTTGAGGAGGTAAAAGAAAAAATTGATTTATACATCGACGATCATTGCAGAACAAGAAAATATATTTGTCTACTCTCCACGTTTTTATTCAATTTCTTCATTTATTTACATTAGCTATTCTTACATACATTCAATTATATCCTATATACTTTGATTGTTCGTGGACACTATTTAGTGGTAAGTACTGTTCTATTACTTGTATTTAGTCTTTAATACTTAATGATATTTTCATATTACTATAACGAAATATTTAAGTTATATTAAACTTTCTTGTATAACGTTACTAATATAATAATCTTTATTGAGATTATATGACAGACACATAAAATAAAACAAGTAGTGCTCGTCTAAAGGTTCGATCAGTCCTCATGAAAAAATCCTTTTATATCTTTACCTAATTTTTTGGCTAATTATTGAAGTGCGGACATGCAATCACTCAGACAATTTGTTTTTATTGTACTTTTCTATATGAGAAAAAGAATAGACAACAATTAATTTGTTTTGAAGGTATTTCTCCATATTACTAATGATGATTTTAAAAACACATTCTCATGATAATGCATGAGAATAAAACTTCAAATGAAACAATTATTTTCGCCAATTAGAATAAATAAGATATTTATCTATTTTACGAGAACAAGTAACGCTAGTCTAAAGCAAACTCGCCTAACCTCCTGATTTGACCATAAGACTTCTGGTTTTTGAACTTTGCTCCTGACCGAAAAACTTCTGAGTACAGGAGCTGATTTTCAACATTTTCTCCTAATATTTACTTTTTTTCCTACTTGATGTTTAGCGATACTTTGAATCAACAAGAGAGTTAAAATAAAAAAAAGAAAACTATTGCAGTACTTAATAATTATAGTAACGTATAAGAAAATAGTTGCTTTCATTTCATTTTTCTCGAAAACAATTATCAGTTGCAGAAGCTAGTTACACATAAACTGATGGGCAACATTTTAAATGACCAGTTAAGATGTCTCTCATCTGGAAAGATATTTACATTTCTTGGAATTCACGTCTGATTCTTCTTAGCTTAGAATAGAGCAATATCTTGAGCAACTTAGCAAATTCCTGCGTTTCACTTTCATTATTATTAGGGAGTTGTTATAGGTTCGTTTGCACTGCTAATTTTGTTATCAAAGTCTGACAGAAATTACAACCATTAAAAGAATGAATAGATATATATTACAACAACAAGAAGTGAAGACATTAGTAAAAAAGAAGCAGAAGTGATAACCATTCTGCTAAAATGTTCACTGAATAGATCATAAAAGGCTTAAGAAAAAAAACAACTTCTATTGTTAAAAATTAGATTATCTTGCTTTTTTACAACATATTAATACTATAAACCGCTTATTGCAAAAACAAGCAAAGAAAGACGTACAAACGATTCATATAGTGATGTAAGAAATAAAGAATGCTTATCTTTTTTTAAACTCTTGCAAAAATCTTTCTATCGTTCTATTTATTTATATAGATACTTTTGTTTAACCGTCACACTAAAAAAAACAGTGTTGAGTGATAGATTATAATAAAAATTAATTTAGAAAAAATACAGATAAGAATACTAACTGATCAAGAGTACATAATAAATATAACTAAAAGAAATATTTTCATGATCATTTTGTATAGAAAAAACATTATTTGTGATGAAACTCAAGTGAAAATAATATCATTTGTATTATATTATTGATCACCAACTTGATACGAAAGAGATAAAAGTGCTTTTTTTTGTTAGCAAATATTCGAATTTTCTACGAGAAAGCCTGCTGATTTTCCTACCGATTTAGTAGAAAAATTCTCTTAGAAAACTGCTGCTTTTTTAAAAACTCCTGTTTTCTGAAATTTTGATTTGGTAACTCTGATGATGATGATGTTAAATATATGCGAGATAGTAGACTATTGTTGATACTTATAGAAGATGAATTACAAATAAGTAATCAACTAGTAGAATCACTATGATGATTGCCTATATAACTATGATGTATGAATATTGATAATGACATTTGAAGTATCGAGAGCTCCAGTTAATTTTTTTTGTAATTATTTTATAACAACTAGTATAATAAACTATGTAAAATTAAACTTGTAAGTTAATCATGAAAAAATTCAATGATAGAAAATATTTTCGTAGACAAAATAAATCTATTTTTTCGTCATAGATTTGCTTACAACTGAAAATGACACAAACACCACTGAACTCACAACCTTATGATCAGTTGACTGCATCAGCAGATGACATTTCAGATAAAAATATTACAGATTTATTTCATCGGATAATCGATTCATTCAAACGAGCACCACAATCTGAAAATGTTCCTATTGATATGAATCAACAGAAAGAAAGAGCTAATCTAATTAATAATATTGAGAAAGACGAAACTGGTTTGCATCGAACGTTAAAAAATCGACATTTACAAATGATTACTATTGGTGGTGCGATTGGTACCGGTCTGTTTATTAGTTCTGGTACTGCTCTTGCAACTGGTGGACCTGGTGCACTCGTTCTTGATTTTATCATCATCGGATTCATGCTTTTCAACGTATGCATGGCACTTGGAGAACTATGTGTCGTCTTTCCTGTTTCGGGTTCGTTCATCGCTTATGGTTCTCGTTTTCTTGATCCTGCATGGGGTTTTGCTATGGGATGGAACTATGCTTTGCATAAATTAATTGTTATACCACTTGAATTGACAGCTGCTGGAATCGTCATTAACTACTGGACAACATCAATTAATATAGGTGTTTGGATCACTATTTTCCTTGTTTTTCTTCTTATTATCAATCTTTTTGGTGTTCGTGGCTATGGAGAAATTGAATTCTACATGTCCATCATCAAAGTCATCGCTGTTATTGGTTTCATCATTCTTGGTATTGTTCTAGTATTCGGAGGTGGTCCAAATCATCAATATATAGGAGGCAAGTACTGGATTCATCCAGGTCCATTTGCTAATGGATTCAAAGGTGTGTGCTCCGTTTTTGTGACTGCTGCTTTCGCTTTTGGAGGCACAGAAATGGTCGGATTGGTAGCTGCAGAAACGGATAATCCACTGAAGACGATTCCTCGAGCAACGAAACAAGTCTTTTGGAGAATCACAATTTTCTATGTTGTCTCGTTGGCATTGATTGGTTGTTTAGTGCCTTATACATCGCCACGGCTTCTGTCTGGATCATCGAGCTACGATGCATCCGCATCTCCTTTTGTGATTGCTATTGAAGATGCAGGTTTCAAAGTGTTACCTTCGATATTCAATGCTGTGATTCTTTGTGCTGTTCTTTCCGTGGGTAATTCTAATGTTTATGGAGCATCTCGAACATTGTGTGCACTTGCTGAAAATGGTCAAGCACCAAAAGTATTAGCTTATATCGATCGTAAAGGCCGTCCGTTATCTGCCGTCGCTCTCTCGATAATTATAGGACTTCTCGCTTATATCAACTGTGCAAATGTTGGTACTCAATTATTTCAATGGCTACTAGCTCTTTCTGGTTTATCAAGCTTTTTCACTTGGGGTTCTATATGCGCATGTCATATTATGTTCCGATCAGCATGGAAAGCACAAGGTCATACGTTGGATGAACTCGTTTTTGTGGCACCTCTGGGTATAGTGGGAAGCTATTTTGGCCTTCTACTCAATATTCTATGTCTGATTGCTCAGTTTTATATAGCCGTATCTCCTATTCATGGTTCTGTAACTGCTAGATCATTCTTCGAAGCCTATCTTGCTGTTCCAATTGTAATTATTTCTTATATTGTATGGAAAATATGGAAGAAAACACCATTCATGCGGCCTAGTACGATCGATCTTGAAACTGGAAGACGTATGCTCAATGTACAACAGTTGATTGATGAAGAAAAAGCAGAGCGTAGATCTTGGCCTATATGGAAAAAAATGTTTTATGAATGCTGTTGAATTGTTCTTTCATTATATAAAATTTTACTTTACATAGGTTTTATACATCACTATGTGTCTGTAAATAGTATATTGCAGACAAAAACAGTAGCCTTTGTAATGTAATGAAAACTTCTAACGTTGATTTTCTCTCCTTCCAGTGTCTTTTCGTATGTTGAGTATCTCCTTATTTCTACACGCACTGCTCATTGTCTGTGATGTTTCTTCTTACTCTCTTATGCATTCAATAAATACAATATTCGCTTTTTCATCTCATAACTATAGAGTTCAAAGTAGTGTTGATAATTGATGGGAATGTCTTTCGGGTAAAATTCACTAACAATAATAACAAACAATTTCCAATTGAATCTATTGCTGAACGATGCGAATTGACTTCTGATCTGAGAATGAGGGTGTGGGTGTGGGATGAAGTTATCCGTTTGATTGTGGATATCGTGGTTATCTTGCACTTTTCTTTTAAGATTATTAAATTTATCTGTACGTATGCGAATCTATTTTCTTGTGTTATATTATTTTGTGTTAGGTAATAATTAAAATGAATAGTCAGTTTTTTTGGTACATGCTCAAACCATTAAGAAAATATATGTGGCTTACGTGAATACAGATTTGAAATGGTTCAATGTATATCGTCCTCTTTCCTGTCGTTTAATGTCACGAAGTAGGTTTATATATATATATATATATATGATTGAGTTATGTACTTCTTATTAACTGTATAGATCAAATATTTGTTTTCGTTATGGTTTTACCAGGTATTTCTATTGTCATTGATTTTGATTCATATGATATCATCATTATATTATATTCTTGTATTTGAATATCTAGTCATAAGAGTTACTTGTTGTCTTTGTAAGCCGTAACTATATAGGGTTTTGAGTTAGTAACCAGAAATATCATGTATCTGTTAAACGATATTGTTTGCCACAAGTTCAATATATTTTTTGATATTTCGCACTCGTTATTACGTTCAATCAGATCTCGGTAAAGTTGTATCATATTATATTTGTTTTATTGATGCAGTTGATTCATTTTACTTGATAGTAACATGTCAAAGCGTTCATCAATATTGGATGACAAGGTGCTTTCAGAAATGATATTGCATAATATAGCAGCAGCAGCAACAAAATGGGTATCAATATGGGAGACATTTTAAACAACCAACAAATGAAGCCACTGAACGCTTATCACGAAGCATATAATTACAATCCATCGCTATCTTTTTTTCTTTCATTAGGAATGATGTCGCATTTTGCTCAAAGTTCATATTACACGCATTATAATAGTTCTGATCATTATCCTGTACAACTATACATGTGGTTGCTCGATTCTAGCGGTAAGTATGGCGAATATTTAATAGAAGAATTTTTAGTAATGTCAAAACTCAACTCTTAATGAGAGAGTTCACGATGAATCTTGTATTTTCTGTTTCACATAAGTACATCATGAAAAAAAACATTTTTGCATTTTTAATCTGTGTAGTACATAATAAAATAATTGATAGAACTTCCTGCTCAGTATTTATTAATAAGTTACATCGCTTACTTAAGTATATAAAATAGAATACTTCAAAAGTCGTATATCGTTTTCAATTTTTATTGGTTTACTATTTTATTTTTTTAAATTAAAGGAAGTGGTATGACTTATGCTTTTCATCCGATTAAACAAGCGAGTTTTCATTTAGATATTTCAAGCCCGTAATAGTATGTGGAAAGTTGCCACAGTCACCTGTATCGTCTATTATCACGCATACAAACCACATCGGCTTACAGCAACAGCATGGATTGTAAAAAAGAACATGAATGCAGTTTAATTGTAGGCGGTTATTATGGGTAAAGAAATACATGTAAAGAAATTGTTAGCGTCAGCGGTTGTTATATTATGACGCTATCTCATGTATACATATATATAGGTTTCCTTTCTTTCCTGAGAAGTGTGTATTTTTCGTGATCATCATGTTCTCATGAAGATCTTCATTATTATATCCTATTCTCTTTATCTGTTATTCTCTTTCTTTTGTTTCTGTTTCTCTTTATATCTCTGTTATATATAAAGAGTTGTTTTTCTTCGAATTAATGTGTGTGGCAACTATATTTGTAATGGTGTTATAAATTTAAATTCTTTTTTTATTTTTCTTTCATTCTTTTGAGCATCATCATCAGACGTTACATATTTATTAATACATGAAAAAAAATTAAGATATAGTTTAATTATTTAAAAAGAGTGTGGGTGTGAGTTAGTGGCGTAACCAGGGGGGGGGCCAGATGGGGCTTAGCCCCATCACCGAGTGTTTAAGCCCCATCACCCGGATTTTGTGGAACTCACGTAAATTTTCGAAGAAAATCGTGAGTGTAAGTTTTAAGTTCAAGTTTCCCAGCTTCCTTCTCCTTCCCCCCCTCGCAAATTCAATAAAAATACGCAAAAATCATTAAAAATAGCTATAAATTGCTAAAAATTTTAATAAAAATACTGAAAAAGCGTTAAAAATAGCTGTAAATTGCGGGATTTTCTATAAAATATAAGCAAAATGGTTAAATACAGCTATAAATTAGTAGAATTTTAATAAAAATAAGCAAAAATAGTTAAAGATAGCCATAAATTACTACAAATTTAATAAAAAAAATAACGAAAATGGCTATAAATTGCGGGAATTTTTATGAAAATAATGAGAAATCGCTAAAAATAGCTATATACTGTCGCAAATTTAATATAAATAACCAAAAATTGTCAAAAATAGCTATAAATTAACTAAATTTGAGCAAAAAAAGAAGACAAAGCGCTTAAACATGATCAGATATGTTGATGCGAACATACATAAGTTCTACATTTTTAGCCCTAACGGGGCTGCGCTGATAAGCTTTTTTAGTCACTAAACCTGACAATCAAAAAATCCAAAAGACTAGACAGTTTTAGGCAGGGCTGGGCAACTCAGCAGAAAAAATCGAATTAATTCAATTCAATTCGTGAAAAAAACTTTTGAATTTAATTCAACTCAATTGAGTTGCTCAGTTCTGATAGATATAGGTAAATGCACATGTGATTCATTAACTAGATATGAAAGATGTAGACAGAAATTACAAAATAAATCGAAACAAGGACTAGATTTTTGAGTACTTTTATTATTTGAATTTTGTTTTCTGAAAAATAATTTTCGATTCTTTTTGAGTTAATTTCGATTCAATCACAACTCTTTGAAACTTTTTTCAATTCAATTCATGTCAGCTATACTAAATAGTTGTACTCAATTCAATTCAACTAGGTTAATGAATGGGATTGAGTTAAATTGAGTTCGTCATTTTTCGAACTGAGTCGTCCATTTCTGGTTTTGGGGCTGAGCCCCATCACCCTTAAATTTCTGGTTACGCCACTAGTGTGAGTGCAAAATGGAAATAAGACGCACGCTCATCGACACCAACAGACTCAAACCATTAACGAATCTGGTATAACAAAATCGAAAAAAAAGCAACGGACTATTAAATCGGATTTATTGTGTTTCGTTCTGTCTGTTAATAAAACGGCTGCTGATACTTAACTGAAAAACCATATTAGTTGACCTGGCATGAAGTCTTTAGGTGTACCTGAATCTTCACATCAAAAGAGTGCTGGTACTTCTCACTTTTCATCTTGTGTTATGAAAACGAGAGATTATAATGCTGACAGATCAAGCGATCTTGTCAAAAGTTGTGAAAGAATTTGAAATTACATTGTATTTGCCCATTCTGTTTCATACACCGAAATGAAAAAAGGCTCGCAATACTTCTGTAGATTATATTATGTTGAGTGAAAGAAAAGAAGAAAAAAAATGAAGACGCTTACATATTTTTGGAGCATTAGCATGTTCTTGCATGGATGCGAAATGCAGAATAACGATAAAGTAACATGAATTCACTGTTTTTCTTTTTTGATCACGTATAACACTTTCAGTAGGCGAAGGTGAGTGTGTGGATGTAAATATGAATAAGGGTCTGAATGTAGCTATACTATAAAATTCATATCTACCCCTTAGTCTCATCGACATCCTCGTTGCTTTTCAACACCATATGAAAAAAGTATGATACTATAGGACGAACAATTTTTCCGTTCTGTACATACTTATTAGACAAGTCGTCGATAGTTACCTTTACTCTTTTGCGAGTGTTATGAGAGAAAAAAAAGAGAAATAACATGTGACTATTTTACTTGCTTGACGGATAAAGAGAAAGTAAATATATACATTCATTTCGACATTTTTTATCATAAGTAAGTATTAAAAATTTACTTTTCAATTAATAATATATGGCAGAACTCAGATTAGATTCTATACTCATATCTATTATTAACAAAATAAATTGATAGATTTTTAAAAATATTTTAGAATCATTGAAATAGTTCTATTTCTATTTATTAACGACTTATTTTCTATACTATTGTTTTTTGGAAATGGTCACACCGAAGAACTGTTCAAAGTGTGCGAAAGGAAAAGGATCTTTCTTTTGTATTGGATGCGAGGAATACTTTTGTAAAAAAGATTATGGTGATCATCGATCAAAGATGGATAATGAATTAGATCGATTTATTGAAGATTGCAATACACTTCAAGAGAAAATTAACACAATAACTCAGAACAAAGACTTTAATATTCCGCTACTTACAGAAATTGATGATTGGGAGAAAATGATTATTGAAAAGGTTAAAAAAGTCGCTGAACAAGTTCGAGAACAAGTGATTAAACTACCGAACGAAAAGGAAGTGGAAACAAAATTTAACTTTGAGAAATATAGACAGAATCTCAATCAATTAAAAGAAACCGGTGATTTTGTCGAGTATGATTTGAAATACCTCGAACAAACAGTTTATCAACTTAATCAAGATCTAAAACGATTAAATCAATCACTTGAATTCGAGTTGTGTAAGGAGCAAAGTAACCAAATACAATGGGATAGTCTCATTTATATCAAAGAAAACCCTTCTTACGCACTAAAGCAATCTCAACAACAACAAGTAAACGGTCAGTTTATTAGAAGATCTTTTTCTTATACATAGATACGTAACGATATCAATGTTTTTACGTTTGAAATACTACAGATAGGTCAGAAATTTTATGCTGTTACTCTATTCCTTCTTCATAATAGAATGTTTTTGAGCATTTGAGTCAGTTTTACCATAAAACACTTTAGAATATGCTATACCCGTTAATATAAACAATACTTATTCACATCTGTTCCATAAAAACGAAATACATGTTATACAGATTAAATTGATACTAAAGCAAATATATTTCTATTAGCAACTGAGGACTCAAAGTATATTCAAATTTTTATTTAGTTTTCATATATATATATATATGTCGAGTATCAATTAAATACTACTGTAATTTGATTTTTTTTTCGTCTCGTACAAAAAAAGATAAACTATTAATATCTGAACGTGATATACTTTTTGATATAGACCAAACTCAAATTGTGGTATCATCTCGTCAAGTGACACTCGATTGTGGTGGTCATCCTTGTACAATATGTAATAAATGTTGCGATTGGAATCGTAATGTCAGGCGTGCTGGTGCCACTTGCACTCGTAATTCTGTTGGTACTTGTTATACTGCTTATTGCGATTGTCCTGGTTCTTGTCATTGCAGTTATAATGATCATATTTATAGTGATGTATGTAATTGTGCAGAGAACAAATGAGACATTCTCCAACGCCTTACTTTGATTCGTGTTTTAATTAAACCCTACAAAATTGTACTCCCCATTATTAACAAAAAGAACTTAATGATCAATGTGACTAAGAATAAAAATTATAAATCATTAATAACGTTGATGAACATGTGGATGTGTATTTAATATGTACCTTCAACATCCACACACATACACACGCAATTTAAATTCATCTTCATGTTCACTCTCAAGTGTACTTTTCTAATAATAACGAATTATTTATTTTGTATTATTTATTACAATACAACAATAAACATGAAAAAAAAAGTATATTGATCTCGTACGTTCTTATTTACATTTGTTCTCATAGACATTTTTTGAGGAGCAATACGTCTTGGTTGTCGTTGTAAATGTAAAATCTTGATGGCTTTATTTCGAAGATCAGGTATCGATAAAAGACAAATAAAAGAAAAAAGAGGCTGCATTAGATAACTGAAGAAAATTGCATTTAACCAAAAGTCAGCAAATTTTATATATATGGCACACCACTTCGACGCATAATAAGGCAGACTGTAAGTGGACAATAAAATATAAGATATAGTGATGAAATCAACATCACTTGAATTGTCATCTTTCGGTGTTTTCGCCATAAAACACGTACAACTAAAGTAATACTAAATACAAAAATTAATATCATAGGTAGCATCTTGTGAACTATCACATCGTACATAGCAACAAAATATATATTCGTCATACAGACAATAACGCACATTGCAGAGTAGTTCGTAAATAAATTTCGACAAGGTGGAAAGAAGCTTGTAATAGTATCGTAGATAAGACAATAGAGGAGCAGTACAATACATGGAAGGTAATGAACAAAGAAGCGTTTCGTTTTTGTTGACACCCATTTATCATGAAAAATAAGAATATGTCTTTCAATTGTTGCCCAACTAAAGAGTATTGTATGTGCAGCATACGAAACGTAGTAAATAAACAACCATATTTCACAGAAAATCGGTGATCTATTCCAGATACCTTCATAATAATAATAATAGAGCATCCATGGATAAATCGTGACTTCATAAGACAAATAATAAGCAAACCAACGATGTAATTAAAAAGGTAAGATGAATCCAAAACGTGACTGTATTAGATATCATCGTTCTAATGAATAAAACTTTTATTTTTGTCTCGAGATTTGTAAGAATAATCAATTGTAAAATGAATGTGACGAGAAAGAAAAATAAATAGTTTTTTTAAAATATTTTGTTAGATTCTCCACTTGATTTTTCACTCATAATTCAACACATTTATTCACCTTTTACCGAGTACTTCGACAAATAAAAAGAAATTTTTTCTGCTATAGATAATTGAAAGTAATAAATATAAATTTTTAAAATATTTTCTTTATAAAGATTATAGTCGAATAGTTATCTTAATGATAATCATCTTTTTATATTAAATACACGTAATTGTTGAAAAATAATATGCATGTTTTTGTCGTTTAAAGTGAAATTTGAGAAAGAGAAAGAAACAAAAATACTTAACGACGTAGGAGGTAAATAGTTTGTTTTTCTCGCAGTTCTGATAGGATGTGAGTGTGGGTCTTTCTCTTTAACCGTTATCTTTATCCACATCGATACCTTCGAGGAATTTGATAATTAATATTAGAACGAATAAATAAGTCACTCTTCAACATATAAGCAAACCATCATCATGACTCACATGTGCGTCAACATCTGATGCAATAACATATTTTTTGTCGTTCGTAATGATGAAAACATATTTTATTTTAACTGTCATTTATAACAGAAGAAAATAAATAACATTCACGATGTCGTCATCTACTTTTGAAACTTTATCCGATGAAATAATAATGATGGTGATAGAATATTCTGGTGATATTCATATTGTACTTCGAACATATCTCGGTTTAAATCAACGTTTGAACAATATTCTTCTTGACTACCGTTCTCATCTGCTTACGCATTTTTTGCAACTCTCTGTAGGTAACGAAGATTTGAATTCTATATACGATTCTTCAACATATCAAGATCTAATAATAAATTTATCATCGATAAAAAAAACTGAGAATGAGAAACAAATTATTGACTATTTACAAATGTTTATTACTATACATTTAAAAAAAAAGTATCTTCAATTGGGCAACGAATTTCAATTAAAAATGGATACATTCGTAACTAAGCAGCACGAACATACTTCTGCAGAAACCAATGAATTACTATATCAACTTCAAAAATTAAAAGAATCTCACAATGTTGATATTCAGAATATTGCTAAGATTACTTCGCTTATTCTTACACACGGTATTAATCTTCAAGATGGTGTAACCGCTGAGCAGGGTATATTTTCTATGGATCCTTTTATTTTCAAATTTATCTCTTGCCATTTATTTACTTTAAAAAACTCTCAATTATTTCGACATCATGTAACTGAATTGTACAAAGCATTAGCTATTTGTGGTGGTTATCGTCTTAAATGCCAATATTCGAATCATTATACTAGAAATATAATTTCTCATGGTTTCGTCTACGTAATAAATGAATTAAAGTATATGAAATATCATCTATCGACACATTCTGTCAATATCCAATTGTGTCGTATGCTGATTGATTTAATTCTTTTTACAATTCAATGCGTAGTTCATACATTCGACAAGAATTATTGGTCTGTATTGAATTTTATCTCTCTATTACAAAGCATCTGTTTTTCCGAATTAATCATTCATAATAATTGCGTTGTAGAAATAATTACAAAAGAAATATTTAAATTACTTCTCGATGAATATGCTCAAAAAATTGGAGTTATAGAATCATATTGGAAAGATCAGTTCTTTAAGCTGATCAAGAAATTAATCGAACAAAAACGTATTGATGAAATACTCTTTTTTTATCAATATAATCAACAAATAAAATCTTTTTTTGATACACCAGATCATACTCAAAAGCTTGTTCGTCTACTGCTTGGAAGTCGAGTAGGAAGACAATTATTTGATCGATTTCTTAAACAAAAACTGTTAGAATCATGGTTAATATATAAAGAATGGATATTTTATCTGGTAAAGAAAAGAGAAATTGGATTTCTAAAAATAATATTCAATATTTATCCATCACTCGTACATATATTGGATAAAGATGGAAATGATCTTTTATTATATACATGCCTTAAAGTTGTCGGTCCTCGATATTCATTAATGAGAATTCTTATACAAGCAGGATGTAATCAACAAAGAGAAAATGGTCTTGGGCAAACATTGATGGATGCTTTGCAATTGGAACATAATAGAGATGTATTAGAATTCTTGAAAACTGAAGGAGTAGTCAAAGTCAACAATCTGAACTTGAACAAATGACATTAGTATTTGTAATACTCAATTATCACATGTGATTTATCTATAACTGCATAATAAGCGAACTATAGATATTGTTTCAGATTATTCATACAATGCTAATCATAGAGTGTATCGAAGTTGCACTAGTAATACCTTCGGTATTGTTTTCTTTGATACAATTCATATTATTTTTTTTTATGCGAGTACAATTCTTTTTGACAGATTTTATTGATTAAAAAATCATAGTTTAAATGTTTTCAAAAAAATGTAAGATTATTTGGTATATACGCACTGCAATTTGACTTGAATAATCATAACAGATATCATAGTCATACTTAATGAAATCGTGAGAAGAAATGAAAAAAAAAACAATACATGAAGATAAATCTCAATTAATCATATGTATTTAAGATCTCACCGAATTTAATATAAAATGGCATATTGATTGACGTATATTATTTCTATCATATACTCAATCGTTCGGAATACAGCACTAAGAAAGAAATATATCAAACCAATGAAAACAAATAAAAGAGATCCATTAAAGCTATTTTAGATATTTACAAAATAAGAAAAAAACGTTTTAAACTCTAAATATTCGAAATAATATGCTCCTTCGAAAATCGTCATATATTTGAAACAATACCGAAAGTAAATAAAAATAAATTCGCTGACTCTTTCCATAACACTACAAATTGCACGTACTATCATTCTCAACAAAATACTTTATATATCTCGGTACTTCATATATTTATAATTGGATTTTTCAACAATCATGATTTATAGAATAATTTCTTTAACAAAGTGACTAAAGAATAAATGAGTGAATATTTATGGATGCAGCTGATACTAATGTTTTTTCTATGACATTATATATATATCAATCAGCGAGTGAACGAATTGAATAAACAATAGAAATACAGTGACCCCAATCAAACGAAAATATAAAATATATATATCTTTTTTTTTTCTTTTCTTTATATAACTATATCAAATTGAAAAAAATAACTTGTTTATGCACATTATTAGTAAGTACTAAAGATATAAGAAAAATGATATTAATATTGGCGATTGAAATATGTGATATATAAAAGTAAGAGTAATTAAAAAAATATAGAAACATGTGCTTTTACTTTATACAAGGAGAAATTAATAAGAAAAAATAAAAACAAGCCTTTATATTAACGAATTTGATATCTAATAGGTAAAGAGAATAGTGAGTCGCAGCATATAAGAGCAATAGACCGTGGAGTATAGAAGTAAAAGAAAGAAAAAGAAATATATTTGGATTGATTATTGCTCGCTTTATCGTTGTACAAAAGTAGGGAATATAAAAAAAAAATTAAAGGTAAGTATACGTTTGTACAGAAGCGACGCACGTTACTCACCTATACATGAATAGATAAACACCACAAATGTATACATTAAATATTTTTATATGTTGTTTTGTAGCATATTTACAATAGTTTAGTCTAGATTATTTGTAAAGTTTTTGTTATTTAGGGAACGAATTTAAAATATTCAAAAAATATAAGACTTTCTATTTAATAATAATTCAGTTTGAGTTTTTTTAAAAAAAAATCAATTTTGAAGAGCTATATGTTATCGAATAAGATTTATTCTCTTAACTTCGCCATTTTGAATTTGTCGCTGTTTCTAATACGAAAGACAAGGAAAAAAATATTTGTTTAAGGTTTACTAAAATAATATTTGACCAACTAATTGCGTGGTGTTTTTTTCTTATTAAAATGAAAAGAAAAAAGTAGATGCATGCATGAATAACCACTGCAGTGAAAAATATATGAATAAGAGCATTATTTTTTATCGTCTTCATTATTTTTTCATTCATTTGTAAACACCGCCGACGCTTTGACTCTAATCGTCTCTGATATTATTTGTGCGTAGTCAGTATTATTTAAATGATATTTTTTGCATATCAGAACTCATTGTCTTAGTTTAAAATTTGATTTTTAATTATTTGATCGTATTCTTATCTCTGCAAACACATTAGGTTAAGTATAACTCATTTTGAAATCTATTTTTTTTAATATGTCAGCATGATCGGTGATTTAATGAATTGTCTTTCGAAAAGTGAATAACACATGTTGTGAGAAGCATTTATTGTATCTTTTATATTATTTATCAAAAATAATGTTTGAGATTCTATTTTTTTTTCAAAATTAAATGACCAAATAGGTGAGAATTACTAGTCAGCCATACAGACTGATCATTTTGTTACTAATATACTCTATCTATTGAAAAAAATCGTATTGAGAATAAAATAGAATGAATTTTCTACCCTATAGACAACGTCCTTCGGTAATACATTAAAAATACTTAAGTATACAACTGTTTTTTTACATTGTAGATATAAACAACATGCGAAACAACAAAGGAGCGGTGATATGCCTTTCGGTGGGCCTGTGTATTTTAATCTTTCTGATAATTGTGTCAGCAATTATCGGTGTCGCAGGATTTAAAACTTATAGGACAGAGAAGAAAGCTCTGTCGATTTACAAAGAAACATCGTGTTTGGTCACAAACTACACATTAGCTAAAAGCAATTGTACAAGCGAAACTTGTACCGGTTCTGGATTCCTTCGTGTTTGTAAAAAGCGTTCTTACCCTTGTAACGTAGAATCATATAAAGTAAGATACAATATATCGAGTAACGAAATAGTCGCAATTAAATATAACGTATCGGCGGGGGACACAATTAAAGCTCAATACAATACATCGACTGCACAACTTAAATACAATGTATCGAATGTACAAACAATCGAGACCACATTTGAGGGATCGGGTGGACCAGGACCCAATTCGGTAAGCAACTCTAATTGTAAATAACAAACTATATTTTTATATTAAAATGTAGACAAATCATACGTATAAATGTTACTACAACAAGCCAAATCCAAAATTAATTCGATGGAATTGGCCAAAACCACATCGCTATTTGATTATGTTATTGGTAGGATGGATATGTTTCGTTGTCTTTGTTTTATTAGCAATTGGCGCTGGAATCTATTTAGTTATTCTTAGCCGACGTTCTAATAACTATAATCAATTAGAATAAATTGTTATTACAAGTACAATTCGATGATACATTTATAAAACTAAAATAACTAATAATCTTTTATTTCATTAATTTTTTTTAATATTTTAATCACCTATTCATTAATCTATATCTTATTTTTTTTATTCTAACTCAGCATTTTAAAATATACTTCTCTTCGTAAAAATAAATTATTTTCAAGATAATTAGATCGTATATGCCAATCATGGTGTGGAAGTTTTGGGTGTAGATAAAATAGAATACCGACACCTACTCTTATGCATATTTCTCTTTGTTGTTAAGTGTGAGTGTGTATAAAAGATAAAGAAAAGACACCCACACCATTCAATGGTGATAAAAATGAAGTAGATGCCGTGATTTGTTTCATCTGAAAATAATCAATAATTTCTTAACCAATCTAATCGAAGCTGTATACACTGACTGGAGAACTTATAATTGAAGTTAAGTAACTTTGATAAATCCTGTTGTCAAATTTATGATATTGTCAATGATTGCAACTTCGAGAAGACGTATACATTCGTTTGCCACGTTGTAGAGAGAATGAAACAAAAAAAAAAGAAATAGAAAATGTTGCTATCCAGTCAGACAAGCTTTGACAATACCAATACTTTTACGCGTTAAAAATGAATTTTTTTACAATTGAGCATATGTCGTCCGAGTTTGGGTGTAGATGGAAGGGTAAATGCGAGTTAAAGATAACAATAACGTATGTAATTGCATAGATATTGTTACATTCATATCTGCATATGCCTTCACGTATTCTTTCATATCATATCTCATTTTCTGTTATACACATTCCCTGTTTCTTTTTCTTTCTCTTTCATGGTTTTGTTCTTTATTTGAATAAGATACAATGTGAAGAGAGGGTCCTCTTATAGACATCCACCGTCGCGAGATGCTTATAAAACATATTTACCTTGCTTGTTCTTCTTATTGAATAAACTCCTCCATCAAGACAAGTTAGCAATTTCGCCGATTGTTGTTGTTTCTGCATTACAAGTGCGGGGAAGAAAAAGTATATCAGATCTCTCTAAAAGAATCCAGAAAAAGAATGATATTCTGTTTCTTTTATTTAAAAGAAACTTTTTAAGAGTCACAAAACAAAGAATTTGTTTCATTCATATAGTATGGCGACTGAAAATAACGACGAGAAACTTCTAAAACAATGTATTCAATCTATTATTGATGCTGTTTCCGATACAATTAATCAGTCACCAGGAGAAAACAATTCCCCACAATTACTCAATAATCTACGAAAAAAAATTAATAAAATCGCAGACAAATCTTTTTCTTCATTATCAACACAATGTCGAAATTATCTTTTGAATATTTTATGTGAATATCATTATAGTGAAAAACACAAGACTTTATCTGATTCATTTACAAACGATATGTTAGATTCATTTTTACAGGATCTTCAAGGTCGATTACAATCTCTTGATGTCTTTCACGCTGCATGGAGTGGTAATCAATTGATTGTTGAAGAATTTATTGAAGACTATCCGCAGTTAATGGATAAAACGGGTCTTTATGAAACTACACTTCTGTATTCAGCAGCTCGAAATAATCATTTCGATTTAGTCAAATATCTTATTGAAGACGCTGAATGTTCTGTCAATGCTCGAAATGAAGAATATGTTCAGAAAGATCAAGCAGTTACTACAAAAAGAGCAACCATTAGTTCAGTAGCATTACATGCTGTTTGTTTTCAAGGACATTTAGATATTGTCACCTATTTAATTTCACATGGTGGTGATTATTATATATTAAATAATGCTAATGAAACACCTGTTCAAAATGGACAACGTACATCCAATATTCGAGAATTTTTTAAAGACTTTTTAATATTTGGTTATTCAACAAATTTATCAAATCTTTCAAAGAAAACAATTCTGCATGAAATCAAAGCTCATACAGATTTCATAGTCGATTGTATCTGAGAATATAAACCGATAGCAATGGAACAATGGATTGCGTTTCCACCAGATATATCAGATCAACTTCAACAATCGTTAACTAAAAAAACATTTGAAACTGAACTTCGTTTGAAAACAGGTCGAGATCGTTCTCATATTTCAATTACAAAATTTCTACGTTTCGGACCAGATCCTGAAAAACCCAATAATTCTGCTTGGATTCGTTGTCGAGGTTCATCACTTCAAAATTTTCATTGTTATGCTCAATGGCAAATGATGTTTATTCGACATCCAACAGGCACCATCAATCCATCGCCTTCGATAGAAGTACTTGATATGTCAACAGGTGATAATATTCAATTTAATTCATGATATACTGTTGATGATCAAATCAATTTGATACTAGAAACAGCAATGAATTATCGAAGACGATATGTTAATATTGTTTTAAAAATTCTTGAAAATGAACGAATAACATTAAATCTAGAGACTTTTTCATTTACAAATGGACAAAATACAATTGTAGGTTTTTTAAGATGGATACCAAAATTAATCTCGAATATGACAGATTTATTATCTGTTGATAATTTTGAATTAACTAATAATTCGAGTGTTATATTACTTACAACAACATGTGTCAAACAAGCACAAGATAATAAAATTATTTCGCCCGATCAAATGCGTTACTACTATGAGTTGATATATGAGAATGCCTTTCAAAACGATGATTTAGAATTTTCAAATAAGGTTACAATATTCATCTATATAATAATTAAACTGAATAATTTCTTTGATTTTAGCGAGGAGAAAACGAAAATGATACGAATAATCTAATACAAGTTATTCAAGGTGATTTATTAATGGAAACGGTAAGTTTAACTATGCGAAAAATATCTGAAATTGATTGAAAATTGTATAGACTGATGTGATTGTTGTTTGTTCATTATCGAAATTTTTAATGGACCACGTTTTTAACGCTGGTGGAAAATCATTAAGATCTGCTTTTGATAAAAAAAGGAAAGAAAACGAAAACTATTCGATAATTAGTATTCGAACAGAAGGTTCACTTAAATGTAAAGCAATTTATTTTGTTCCATGGAAACCAAATTCTGATGAAAATCGACTTTGTCAATCAATTAAACAATTAGTAAAAAATGTCATTAAAAAAGCAGTGAGTGAAAATTTTCAAAGTGTTGCTTTTCCGGCTATTGGCTGTGGAGGATTTGAATGTTCAACAAGTCTTATTGCTAAGACATTTATCGGTCAATGTCAACGATTATTAGTGAAATATCCTTTATCAATTGTATTTGTCATTCAACCTGAAAAAGTTGAGATCTATGATGAATTTCGTCAACATATTGGTTTATCCAAACATGGACAAACAACAGTCAAAGAACCACCAGTATCTTTAAGAATAGGAAATGGAATTATTGAAGTAAAAAAAGATGATATTACAAAGCAAAAAGTAAATATTTCTTTCGAATAATTTAAATAATCATATCTTGTTTGTTGTTTTTAGGTTGATGTTATTATTGGTAGTTCATCATCAGAAATTTACGACAGATTTTATTAAAAGCCGCTGGTGGTCAAGCTCAAATTGTTTATACTAAAGAACTAACAGCTAATTTAAATGCATCAGTTATTATTACTCCATCAGGTCATTTGCATTGTAAAAATATCTTCTTTTTCAAATGGGAACCAAATAAAAATAAAACTATTCTTCAACAATCTATAGTCGATCTCATATCGAATATAGTACAACATGTTAACTCATATAAATATACTTCAATTGCATTTCCTGCTCTTGGATGTGGTAAACATGCTTGTTCAGTTGATATTGTTGTTAAAACAATGGTTAGAGAAATGAAACAACAAATTAAAAAGAATGGATTACCATGGACAGAAAAATTCATTATTCATCCAAGTCAACAAAATATTTATGATGAATTTTGTAAACAAGTTCTATCATCGGATCATGCATCCAACGATTATCGATTACCTTCAACATGGGAACGATCTGATGACGATGAAATACGATTTATTGTACCGAAAAATACCGACGAATATAAACAAATTATCAGTAAATTTAATGAACAAATGCAAGGAAACTATAGTCAAATTCTCAAACTAGAACGAATTCAAAGCGAACGATGGTATATGTAATATGTTGCACATAAAAAAGAATTTAAGAAACGTTTTGGTATCGATACAGAAAAACGTCTATATCATGGTTGTCCAGAAGGACCGGCAGATGCGATTATACAAGATTGTTTTAATCGAAGTTTTGCTGGCGTCAATGGTATTTTTTATTTAGTAAAATTTCAATTATATCTCTATGAATCGATTTTAGGTACACTGTATGGTTTTGGGGTTTATTTTTCATCACGGGCAACTTACAGCCATGGCTATGCAGTATCAAATAAAAATAAAGAGCATTGCATGTTTGTTTGCCGTGTTCTTGCTGGAAAAACTACTAAAGGAGATGGTTCAATGAAAGTTCGGCCAGCTGGATTCGACTCAACGACAGATAGAATTCACATGACTGTTACTTATCATGATGCTCAAGCATATGCTGAATACTTAATAACCTACCAATAAAACATAAATCTATTATTTTGATTATTTAACTATTCAAGATTTCGAATGAACTTATTTTTATACTTTATAATGAATTTAAACTTCAGCTTCTTTAAAACAAATGTGCGTTTGAATATACAATTTAAATTTCTTTTCTTTTGTTGAGAGTATGGACGTGGATGATTAATAAGACACCTTTATCTTTCTCGATTCCGCGAAAGAATTCTTTTTTCTTTCATTCTCGAAGCTTATCAGTTTCTATTTGCATCTCATTTGACTGGCGATGAAGACAACCACAGTTGAAATATTATCCAGCTGCTTGTTCTCCTACTCACTTTCAGAGAGAATGTATACCTTTTTTTATGGACTATATAAAGTCTCGAATAACTTCTTTTTTTTCATTCTTACTACTCTTACAGATTACAATTCATCATAAGTGTTGTTGAAAACAAACTGTTTTTTTTTAAGAAGTATTGATGGAGAACTCAAAGCATTCGAAATCTGCAGGTCATTTACAAAAAATCTATCAATACAATCGTGATATCTCCGAATGTCGTCAAGGCGTTATATTTATGACTCAGAAAGAGCAGGAGAGGGGATATAGAATCAATCAAACAGATAGCAGAAATATGGAAACAATATACTTACGAATGAATCGATTACATTTATTACGACATGATGAAATAATAAGAGCTTTTTCTAATGGTGTCGTCTCGCGAGAAATACCAGAAATACCACTTTTCCCTAAAATTGGTACGCGATTATACATGAACAATCATCAACACAGGAATAATAATCATTCGAAGAAAAGAAATATCAAAGCAGACTCGAGAACAAAACCATCTGTTGAGCGCCCAACATCACCAATTCCTGTACTCCAAGTCGCTACTGTTGTCTTCGAAAAAAATCGAGCTACCATTGACATGAAAATCAAACAAACGGAATCGGATAGTAATCCTGAGAATGATACGAACGACAAAGATGATGATATTGTCTATCCAATTGGTGTCAAAGATCATCGTCCGTATAAAATTGTCGCTCAATATCGACGAATGTTGGGGAAATCAACTGATTTTATAGCTGAACCTCTTTGTATTGGTGAAAATGAAACAGAAACAGCTGTGCTTGGTTTGAGTAGCTTTGCTGAAAAACACGGCTGTGATTTAATGTTCACCGATGAGGATCATCGATTTGACAATAGTATGTATCGTGCTGCTTGTGGTACAGCTGATTTAGGTATTATTCATCTTCTGGCTACTGATGCAGTTCAAACAGCGACTTTTTGTTTCGTTATGGATTTCGATTTTAATCATGAATTTCAACAATCCACAGAGAAAGTAGAGACATTTGTGATGGATTTTTGTCAAGCAATTGCGAAAGTCATATCATGTGATACAAACAATGTTCGCATATTTTCGATTAGTAAAATGGAAAAAGAAAAGCAGAAGAGTGAAGTGAAGTTTGGTGTGACATCGCTAGAAACAGAAAAGACTGAACAACTTGCAGAAATATTAAAGGTATTCTTCCTTAAAAATTATTGTAAGAAACATAAATTGGACTTTGTTTTTACTGACTACGCTTCTATTCATCGGAGTATTAAACAAAATCTTGAGTTCACTTATATTTTAGATTCATGCTCGGTCAGGCTTCAGTGATGACAAAATTCTTGCTCGTGTTCTTGCTCGTGACTATGATTATACATGGAAACCAGCATTACAAACTTTAAAATTACATGCAAGTGATCTTGCTCCTGAGTTTAACTTCGATTATAGGCCGAATTCTACACCTAATCAACTTGAACGTGGAAGTCATCCCTACTATTTACCTCGTGGTTGGTATCGTCATGCTCTCCGCGTTCTACACAAGTATGAAAAGGATCCAAAATGGCTCGATCACTCCAATACGCAAGGTGAATGGCCAGTTGTCTATCATGGAACAAAGTCTTGGGCAGTTTCAAGTATTGCTCAACAAGGTTTAATGACTAATGCTGTCAAAGTTGATTTAATGCGGCCAGAAGCCATCCAACAGATGGGAGTCGAAGCGGATCGTCCTGGTCTATATGTCGCTACACACTGTGAGGGTGGAGCTGTCCTCTATACTGAACCGTTTACAGTCAGTCCGCTACCAGATAAGACTGAAAGTTTCCGAATAGTATTTCAATGTCGTGTTAAGCCCGAAAAATTCACAGTTCATGAAAGTCCAGTACACGAGGGTCATGCATGGCGTTATGTTGATGCAAATTCCATACGTCCATATGGTATTTTATTGAAGAAAGAAGATTAAGTAATAAGCTCAAACTGATTTACGAACTGAATATCAAAATAGTTCATGGTGTTTCTTTTCTAATAAAAGTTTTTCTTTTTCAATGCTTCTCTGTATCATTTTTATTTTACCTTTAACTAACCTCTCGAAAAACATTCAAGAACAGAATGCTGACTGTATGGAATATTATTCAACCATAGCCTTTTTTCAAATGAATATTTTAAGAAAAAAAAGACTTCTCCAATAATCGTTTGAATGCTTTTATGCGCTTATATACTCTTTTCTTTTTTAAAATAAAATAAAACCTTGCTTGCGAATGAATCAAACACTTTGAGTCTTTCTGAATAGAGAAACATTTGAACACGGTGTAATCAAATAGATCAGTCACGAACTGATATTTATTGAGAACAATGTAGTCATTTTTTTGCATCCGATGTAACATAACGATATTGAGTAATTTTGTAGTTACCATCAGCAGAATTGTCATCAGAAGTTGTCAATCGTTTGACTCTTAATGAAACTTCCGATCCAGTGACAGAAGTTTCATTATTAGGCTGATCCTTGAAAAATAAGTACACATTTATAAATTATCTTTCTTGTTTATTACATACCTCTGCATTTCTACTCTAATTATGCTCATCAAAACCACTACTATCATCTTGGTAATCAGAGATCTAAATGTGAAGAAAGAGTAGATAGAAACGTATTTTATTCATCTGTTTAGTAAATATAGTATTGGCTTTATTTTGGAATTCCAGAAGTTACCTGAATCTTTTCTTGATTTCGATTAAGTTTGATAGAACCAGCAGCAGACATTGCACGTTTTACACTAGAATCAAACATATTGATTACAAAAGACTTTGTAATGAACAAAAATAATCCTACGTTGTGGCTTTAGTTGTTGATCGTGGTACAGCATCTGGCAATGGAGCAAGCTCTATGAAGAAAATTATCTTATACTCAAATAGCTTCAAATAAGAATAAGATACAAACTGATATTTCGAAGTTTCATTGGTAATATTGATTGATCATCATGTTCCTGTGTTTCGGAGTTTCGTGTTGGTACATTAGAACGTCGTTCAGACAGATTCCCAGGACTGACATTGTACTCTACAGTCGATAATGATCCACGATTCGTTGGCAATGATTTGCGGCCAGTCGATGGTCTTTTTAGTTCTTCTACAGTTTGATTCGAGTCCGAATCGTTATCATCCGTATCAACCGGTTTTTGCTATGACCATAAAAGAAAGAAAAACCATCAAACTAGAAAGATGCGCTTTCGAATGGTGCTTACTTTTCTATCGTTTTTCACAATTTTCAAGTGATAAGCTAGTGGTTGCCGAGAGGCCTCACGTCTTTCCATATACAATCTGTAATCATTGAATGCTCTATTCAATCGATCATTACATCGCAGAAAATCCACTAGAAAAACAATCGATCTGAAGCAATTTCAAATGAAGTTTACATTGTCCTACCAGCAATATCCTCGATTGCCACAATCGAAAGTAAATTGACCAATCTTGCTTGCATCTTTTTGCACGTTTTATATAGATCCTTACTTCAAAACAAATAATAGAAAAATACGTGACCCAAACTATTGCTACTTACTGTAAAGAGCTGCCAGTCTTCTGCATGTTCATAGCCTGGTTTTAATTTTGCAATCATTTCTTCGAACACATCTAAATTAATGTGAACAAGATCGAGTTCACTACGAAGTTTAGCAATCTGTTCATCCGGTAAATGACGAATAACTGGTGAAGTATTTGTATCATGTTGATATTGATCTGCATCGACAGAATCAGTTCGATTATAGGAAGGCATTGCCGTTTTCTACAAAACTATAACTTAGATCTGCATTGCCACATCTTCTCTCTCGTTCTTACCGGACGAGTCATGCTCCTTGATGATGATTGAGACTATTAAGATGAAGAATATAATGGTAAAAGAGATACAATAAAAAGTATAGTTCATACCATTGTTCGAGAGAGTGGTGCTGAATTTTTTGCTGGAATCTATTAGACAATATATCGATAAAACATAATAGTGCAATAGAATAAATTACTTCCGTCGACAATGACGTTTGAATTACGTGTTGTTCGTCGGCTGGTGGAAATTTAAAGTGTTGATCTTTGCATACTTGATATAATTCTCGGATAATTTCAAAGCCAGGCTCGTCACCAAATGCAAATGTCCAATACTAGCAATATTGTAATTGTGATAGAAAATATATATCTAGTTCGAGAAAAATGATCAAAAAGAAATTCTTACTTGTATCATACCGAGGACTTGTTCTTCGATAGGTAAAGGTGGATTATTTTTCGGAGGAATGATTGCTTTTAAAGCACGAAGAAAACCTTCATTGGCTATTTCAATGTGTACTATTTTTCCACAGTTCTTGACCAATGCCTCAAGTAACTATTTAAAAGAAAATAGAATACCATTACAATAAAGATTTTTTTGACATACAGTTAGTGTTAATGCGATTGATCGCCATTCTTGATTGCTTAGCTTTATCTGCAAGTTTTTTTTTATTAGTTGTATCGCTTCTTTAGCACTATAGAAGACAAGTTTTTTGTTTAACATTACACAAAAAGATATTTGTATACCTATCTTGATCTGTGGCTACATCATCACAAATTTT